CCTCCCTTCTCATGTTGCAGGAAGAACGTAAGCGCCCGCCCCTTGTCAATCAGTCACCATATAATTTTGGATTGGTTGTTGTGGTGAAGTTTTCCACCAATAGGAGAGATGTTGTGGTGTGTTTTTTTTTTCTTTTGGCAAGCCTTTTCTGCCTGTAAGACCTGTCGCTAATGTCTGCATGCTATGTTTTCCTGTCTCATACAGCGCGATCGAGCGCCGAACGTGATCAAAATAAGCAGAAAAAAAGTATCGCAGACATAATTTATCATAACTCTGGTTTTATTTGGCCTATCAACACAATTTAAAAACTGGTATATAGGTTGAGGTCCTCACTTTTGAGATAAGTTGAAACGGAGAGTCAACGAGGCTCCGTCTTGCAGCTACATCCGGTTAAATATGTCATGTGACTTGAACGCACACACAGACACACACACACGCACACACACACACACACACACACTCAGAGTCTGGTTTTTAGCACCTGCAAAAACATGCTATTTACATATTTGACAAGAATGCAGAGGCTCCTTTTGCCCCTGAAAAAAATCAAATTTCAAACACAACTTGACTGGTCATTTCTCCAAAAGACAACCATGAAGCTCCATCCAAACCTGAAGCAGGCAGTTGGTGCATGTGTACAGTAACCTGAGGGGAGTGAGGTGAGTGCTCCTGAGGAGAACATGAGCAGTGAAGATTCACCTTGGAGCTAGAACAGAGACATGCACATGATTATACAGGGGCAGGGGCTCAAGTTTTTTCCAGTCGTTTATACAATATGGAAATTAATGTGAAATTAAAACACAAAGTATTAATAGAAAGGTAATGACTGTCCTGTGTAGGTGACAGTGATATCCAATAGGCTAGGCACTCACGAGGCTGGCTGTAGCAAGTGTAAGTGAAAGCAACACGCAATGGCAGGAAGAACAGCAAACGCCGATGAAGGAAAAGGGTCTTTGCAGTGATGGGCGTTAACAGAGAGGGCGATGGCCAGAGGACACAAATGGGACGGGGAGGCAGCACGTTGGAGGGGGGGGGGGGGGGGGGACGCGACACGGCTCGGGCCCGCCAGTGCCCCAACGGGGTCCTAGTTATTATTTTTCTGCCCCTTTGAACTGGAAAATGGCCCACTTCCCACTGGTGAAAACTCATGAAATTTGGCAGGACGACCGAGCCCGGTGAAAAATTCGATATTCTGAAGTCGCCCAAACAATCAAATGCAAAATGGCTCCATAGCGCCCCATAAGGTGAAAAATTCACATGATTGAGTGTCACACCTGTACGCTTTGTCAAAATGACACAAAATTTGACACACACGTGTATCTCAATAAGATCTACAAAAAAGTCAGCGCGGGCGTATCTGTCAAATGTACGGTTAAAGGGCTATTTCGCATTTTTTGCCGATCCGCACACAGTGGAATTTCGCTAACTCCTCCGAAGGCTTTCGTTCCACCGGCACCACATTTGCTCAGGCCAATCTACACCCCATGGCCATTAAAAGTTGTACAAATCATGACGCTGCACCCCACGGTTTACGTTCTAGGGGGCGCCAAATATAACCCAAAAATCCACATTCTTAAAAGTCTAATAACTTTTTATTTTTGTCCTCACTGGCCTCCAAGTTTTCTAGGATGATGCAATGACCAGCCATCAACACATTTGTGAAGGAATTTTTACTCCCCAAAAGAGCGCCCCCCCATGGCAGGAGAAAAAAGTCCATTTTTTCTTGTCCCATAAAGTGAAAATACACATTGTTGAGTGTCACGCCTATACGCTTTGTCATATTGAAACAAAATTTGACACACACGTGTATCTCAATAAGATCTACAAAAAAGTCAATGCGCACTTATCTGTAAAATGTACGGTTAAAGGGCTATTACGCATTTTTGATCGATTCGCACACATTGGAATGTGGCTAACTCCTCCTAAAGCTTTCGTTCCACCGGCACCACATTTGCTCAGGCCAATCTACACCCCATGGCCATTAAAAGTTGTACAAATCATGACGCTGCACCCCACGGTTTACGTTCTAGGGGGCGCCAAAGATAACCCAAAAATCCACATTCTTAAAAGTCTTATAACTTTTCATTTTTGTCCTCACTGGCTTCCAAGTTTTCTAGGATGATGCAATGTCTAGCCATCAACACATTTGTGAAGGAATTTTTACTCCCCAAAAGAGCGCCCCCCCCATGGCAGGAGAAAAAGTCAAGTTTTTCCTGCCCATCGCTCAATGGCTCAAACACATGTCATGTGTTCAAACTCCTCCGAAAGGAGGAGCAACTTGCCATTTGGATATATCCTAGCTGTGTTTGTGCCCTCACTCATGGATCAGACTTTTTTCAAATAGGACATGTAGTTTGTCTGCAGCGAGTGTTTTGGTAGAAACTGCGCCTCCCATTCATTATAATGGGAAATGACCACAGACAAGTGCGCACACCATCTTTGGACCTTGAGTGTGACGCGATCGGGAGGGGGAGGCGGTCGCGCTGGGGGCGGCGCAACGCGGCTCGGGCCCGACAGTGCCCCACCGGGGCCCTAGTCTTTCTTTCTTTCTTTCTTCTTATTTTTCCTCCCCTTTGAAGGGGAAAATGGCCCACTTCGCAATGGCGAAAACTCATGAAATTTGGCAGGACGACCGGGCCTGGTGAAAAATTCGATATTCTGAAGTCGCCCAAACAATAAAATGCAAAATGGCTCCATAGCGCCCCCTAAGGTGAAAATTCACACTATTGACTGTCACGCCTGTACGCTTTGTCATATTGACACAAAATTTGACACACACATGTATCTCAATAAGATCTACGAAAAAGTCAATGGGCACGTATCTGTAAAATGTACGGTTAAAGGGCTATTTCGCATTTTTTGCCGATTCGCACACATTGGAATGTGGCTAACTCCTCCTAAGGCTTTCGTCCCACCAACACCAAATTTGCTCAGGCCAATCTACACCCCATGGCCACTCAAAGTTGTAAAAATCATGACGCTGCACCCCACGGTTTACGTTCTAGGGGGCGCCAAAGATGACCCAAATATCCATATTCTTAAAAGTGTTATAACTTTTTATTTTTGTCCTCACTGGCCTCCAAGTTTTCTAGGATGATGCAATGTCCAGCCATCAACACATTTGTAAAGGAATTTTTACTCCCCAAAAGAGCGCCCCCCCATGGCAGGAGAAAAAAGTCCATTTTTTCTTGTCCCTTAAGGTGAAAAAACACATTGTTGACTGTCACGCCTATACGCTTTGTCAAAATGACACAAAATTTGACACACACGTGTATCTCAATAAGATCTACGAAAAAGTCAATGGGCACGTATCTGTAAAATGTACGGTTAAAGGGCTATTTCGCATTTTTTGCCGATTCGCACACATTGGAATGTGGCTAACTCCTCCTAAGGCTTTCGTCCCACCAACACCAAATTTGCTCAAGCCGATCTACATCCCATGGCCATTCAAAGTTGTAGAAATCATGACGCTGCTCCCCACGGTTTACGTTCTAGGGGGCGCCAAAGATGACCTAAATATCCACATTCTTAAAAGAATCCACATCCCCCCCCCCCCCAAGGCAGGAGAAAAAGTCAAGTTAACCCTGCCCATCGGTCAATGGCTCAATCGCATCGCTCTCCTGGCAACACCGTAAGGAGGAGCAACTTGCCATTTGGATATATCCTAGCTGTGTTTGTGCCCTCACTCATGGTCCAGACTTTTTTCAAATAGGACATGTAGTTTGTCTGCAGCGAGTGTTTTGGTAGAAACTGCGCCTCCCATTCATTATAATGGGAAATGACCACAGACAAGTGCACACACCATCTTTGGACCTTGAGTGTGACGCGATCGGGAGGGGGAGGCGGTCGCGCTGGGGGCGGCGCGACGCGGCTCGGGCCCGACAGTGCCCCACCGGGGCCCTAGTTATTATTTTTCCTCCGCTTTAAACTGGAAAATGGCCCACTTCCCACTGGCGAAAACTCATGAAAATTGGCAGGACGACCGGGCCTGGTGAAAAATTCGATATTCTGAAGTCGCCCAAACAAGAAAATGCAAAATGGCTCAATAGCGCCCCCAAAGGTGAAAATTCACACTATTGAGTGTCACGCCTATACGCTTTGTCATATTGACACAAAAATGGACACACACATGTATCTCAATAAGATCTACAAAAAATTCAGTGAGGGCGTATCTGTCAAATGTACGGTTAAAGGGTTATTTCGCATTTTTTGCCGTTCCGCACACATTGGAATTTCGCTAACTCCTCCGAAGGCTTTCGTTCCACCGGCACTACATTTGCTCAGGCCAATCTACACCCCATGGCCATTGAAAGTTGTACAAATCATGACGCTGCACCCCACGGTTTAGGTTCTAGGGGGCGCCAAAGATGACCCAAATATCCACATTTTTAAAAGTCTTATAACTTTTTATTTTTGTCCTCACTGGCCTCCAAGTTTTCTAGGATGATGCAATGCGCAGCCATCAACACATCTGTGAAGGAATTTTTTCTCCCCAAAAGAGCGCCCCCCCATGGCAGGAGAAAAAAGTCCATTTTTTCTTGTCCCATAAGGTGAAAATACATATTGTTGAGTGTCACGCCTGTACGCTTTGTCATATTGAAACAAAATTTGACAATCACGTGTATCTCAATAAGATCTACGAAAAAGTCAATGCGCACGTATCTGTAAAATGTACGGTTAAAGGGCTATTACGCATTTTTGGTCGATTCGCACACATTGGAATGTGGCTAACTCCTCCTAAGGCTTTCATTCCACCGGCACCAAATGTGCTCAGGCCAATCTACACCCCATGGCCATTAAAAGTTGTACAAATCATGATGCTGCACCCCACGGTTTACGTTCTAGGGGGCGCCAAAGATAACCCAAAAATCCACATTCTTAAAAGTCTTATAACTTATTATTTTTGTCCTCACTGGCTTCCAAGTTTTCTAGGATGATGCAATGTCTAGCCATCAACACATTTGTGAAGAAATTTTTACTCCCTAAAAGACTGCCCGCCCATGGCAGGAGAAAAAGTCAAGTTTTTCCTGCCCATCGCTCAATGGCTCAAACACATCGCCCTCTCAGCAAAACCGAAAGGAGTAACAATTTGCCATTTGGATATTTCCTAGCTGTGTTTGTGCCCTCACTCATGGTCCAGACTTTTTTCAAATAGGACATGGAGTTTGTCTGCAGCCAGCGTTTTGGTAGAAACTGCGCCTCCCATTCATTATAATGGTAAATGACCACAGACAAGTGCGCACACCATCTTTGGACCTTGAGTGTGATGCGATCGGGAGGGAGAGGCGGTCGTGTTGGGGGTGGCGCGACACAGCTCGGGCCCGCCAGTGCCCCAACGGGGCCCTAGTTCTTTCTTTCTTTCTTCTTTTTCCTCCCCTTTGAACTGGAAAATGGCCCACTTCCCACTGGCGAAAACTCATGAAATTTGGCAGGACGACCGGGCCTGGTGAAAAATTCGATATTCTGAAGTCGCCCAAACAATACAATGCAAAATGGCTCCATAGCGCCCCCTAAGGTGAAAATTCACACTATTGACTGTCACGCCTGTACCCTTTGTCAAAATGACACAAAAATTGACACACACATGTATCTCAATAAGATCTACAAAAAAGTCAGTGCGGGCGTATCTGTCAAATGTACGGTTAAAGGGTTATTTCGCATTTTTTGCAGATCCGCACACATTGGAATTTCGCTAACTCCTCCGAAGGCTTTCGTTCCACCACATTTGCTCAGGCCAATCTACACCCCATGGCCATTCAAAGTTGTTCAAATCATGATGCTGCACCCCACGGTTTAGGTTCTAGGGGGCGCCAAAAATAACCCAAAAATCCACATTCTTAAAAGTCTTATAACTTTTTATTTTTGTCCTCACTGGCCTCCAAGTTTTCTAGGATGATGCAATGTCCAGCCATCAACACATTTGTGGAGCTATTTTTACTCCCCAAAAGAGCGCCCCCCCATGGCAGGAGAAAAAAGTCCATTTTTTCTTGTCCACTAAGGTGAAAATACACATTGTTGAGTGTCACACCTATACACTTTGTCATATTGACACAAAATTTGACAATCAAGTGTATCTCAATAAGATCTACGAAAAAGTCAATGCGCACATATCTGTAAAATGTATGGTTAAAGGGCTATTTCGCATTTTTGGTCGATTCGCACACATTGGAATGGAGCTAACTCCTCCTAAGGCCTTCCTCCCACTGACACCAAATTTTCTCAGGCCAATCTACACCCCATGGCCATTCAAATTTGTAAAAATCATGACGCTGCACCCCACGGTTTACGTTCTAGGGGGCGCCAAAGATGACCCAAATATCCATATTCTTAAAAGTGTTATAACATTTTATTTTTGTCCTCACTGGCCTCCATGTTTTCTAGGATGATGCAATGTCCAGCCATCAACACATTTGTGAAGGAGTTTTTTCTCGTTAAAAGAGCACCCCCCCTTGGCAGGAGAATAAAGTCAAGTTTTTCCTGTTCATCGTTCAATGGCTCAAACGCACTGCTCTCTCGGCAAAAGCGAAAGGAGAAGCAATTTGCCATTTGGATATTTCCTACCTGTGTTTCTGCCCTCACTCATGGTCCAGACTTTTTTCAAATAGGACATGTAGTTTGTCTGCAGCCAGCGTTTCGGTAGAAACTGCGCCTCCCATTCATTATAATGGGAAATGACCAAAGACAGGTGTGCACACTATCTTTGGACCTCGACTGTGACGTCACAGTTTGACGTTCAAATGTTATTTGACCTCTGACCTTTGGTGGAGACGTGAACCTTTCAACCTGCAAAAACGGCATTTCAATAGCTCTTACGGCTTTTCTACAAATACACTTTGTTCTGCTGCTCCTACTGTCTCTTCAGAGCTGCTTCACAGATCATTAAAGAGTGTGCATGTGTGTAATAATATAATCATTTTTAGTAACAATGATTTTTAGTGACATCATACATTTGTTTTTTTCAGCAGAGGCAGCCACCTTAAATGTTGACGTGTGTTTTCTGCAGTTGCATCACATGGCCACAGGGTGCCAGTGTTGGACTCATTTTCCAGGGTCTATTGTTGTTGCTAACATGTATTTGTAAAATCAATCCCCTATTTTTATAATAGAAAATGTCCTGTGAAGATTTGTCCACTGTAGTGACCGTTATACGTGAAAGGGTTAATTGTGTAGTGGAAGTGTTTAGTGTTTAGGATACACACACACAGACACACACACACACACACACACACAAACAGAGTCTGTTTTTTAGCACCTGCAAAAACATGCTATTTACATATTAGACAGGAATGCAGAGGCTTGCCCCTGAAAAAATCAAATGTCAAACGCAAATTGGCTGGTCATTTCTCAAAAAGACAACCATGAAGCACTATCTAAACCTGAAGCATGCAGTTGCTGCATGTGTACAGTAACCTGAGGGGAGTGAGGTGACTGCTTCTGAGGAGAACATGAGCAGTGAAGATTCACCTTAGAGCCAGAACAGGGACGTGTACATGATTATACAGGGGCAGGGGCTCAAGTCTTTTCCAGTCCTTTATACAATATGGAAATCAATGTGAAATTAAAAAACAAAGTATTAATAGAAAGGTAATGACTGTCCTGTGTAGATGACAGTGATATCCAATAGGCTAGGCACTCACGAGGCTGGCTGTGGCAAGTGTAAGTGAAAGCAACACGCACTGGCAGGAAGAACAGCAAACGCCGATGAGGGAAAAGGGTCTTTGCAGTGATGGGCGTTACCAGAGAGGGCGATGGCCAGAGGATGCGAATGGGACGGGGAGGCAGCGCGTTGGGGGGGGCGGCGCGACACGGCTCGGGCCCGTTAGTGCCCCAACGGGGCCCTAGTTAGGGCCCGAGCCAGCTGCAACGCAGCCGGGCGTAGAGCCCTATTATTCCTGTATCGTTCTTCTTTCTTTCTTCTTATTTTTCCTCCCCTTTGAACTGGAAAATGGCCCACTTCCCACTGGCGAAAACTCATGAAATTTGGCAGGACGACCGGGCCTGGTGAAAAATTCGATATTCTGAAGTCGCCCAGACAATAAAATGCAAAATGGCTCCATAGCGCCCCCTAAGGTAAAAATTCACACAATTAAGTGTCACGCCTGTACGCTTTGTCATATTGACACAAAAATTGACACACACGTGTATCTTAATAAGGTCTAGAAAAAAGTCAGTGCGGGCGCATCTGTCAAATTTACGGTTAAAGGGCTATTGCGCATTTTTTGCCGATCCGCACACATTGGAATTTCGCTAACTCCTCCAAAGGCTTTCGTTCCACCGGCACCAAATTTGCTCCGGCCAATCTACACCCCATGGCCATTCAAAATTGTACAAATCATGACGCTGCACCCTACGGTTTAGGTTCTAGGGGGCGCCAAATGAAACATTTGCTAGTTTTGAACAGGGCAGAAGTAAAATAAGAGATGTACAAAAAAAATCCGGAAAAAATATTAATCCAATATGATTTTTACAGCAAAGTAGTTTTTGCCACTGAGTGGCGCCAAAGGGAGCTGTCTATTAACAGCAGACAAAGTAGTTATGGCACATGAGGGGCGCCAAAGGGAGCTTTCTATTAAATCTGATGCTACAGAAAAAGTTAAAAGTTATCAAAGTCAATAATATCACTAATCTCTCATATATTCAAGACTTTGATGCCCTGCAAGAGATAATCAGTTTTTATAATGCTTGATAAAAAAAATTGGTCATTTTCCTTACCCCCCATGGCAGGAGAAAAAGTCAAGTTTATCCTGCCCATCGCTTAATGGCTCAAACGCATTGCTCTCCCACTAAAACCGAAAGGAGGAGCAACTTGCCATTTGGATATATCCTAGCTGTGTTTGTGCCCTCACTCATGGTCCAGACTTTTTTTCAAATAGGACATGTAGTTTGTCTGCAGCAAGCGTTTTGATAGAAACTGCACCTGCCATTCATTATAATGGTAAATGACCACAGACAGGTGCGCACACCATCTTTGGACCTTGAGTGTGACGCGATCGGGAGGGGGATGCGGTCACGTTGGGGGCGGCGCTACAGGGCTCGTGCCCGCCAGTGCCCCAACGGGGCCCTAGTCTTCTTTTTCTGCCCCTTTGAACTGGAAAATGGCCCACTTCCCACTGGCGAAAACTCTGGAAATTTGGCAGGACGACCAAGCCTGGTGAAAAATTCGATATTCTGAAGTCGCCCAAACAATAAAATGAAAAATGGCTCCATGGCGCCCCCTAAGGTGAAAACTCACCTGACGCCTATACGCTTTGTCATATTGACACAAAATTTGACAATCACGTGTATCTCAATAAGATCTACGAAAAAGTCAATGCGCACATATCTGTAAAATGTACGGTTAAAGGGCTATTTCGCATTTTTTGCCGATTCGCACACATTGGAATGTGGCTAACTCCTCCTAAGGCTTTCGTCCCACTGACACCAAATTTGCTCAGGCCAATCTACACCCCATGGCCATTCAAAGTTGTAAAAATCATGACGCTGCACCCCACGGTTTACGTTCTAGGGGGCGCCAAAGATGACCCAAATATCCACATTCTTAAAAGAATCCACATTCCCCCCCCATGGCAGGAGAAAAAGTCAAGTTTTTCCTGCCCATCGCTCAATGGCTCAATCGCATCGCTCTCCCGGCAACACCGTAAGGAGGAGCAACTTGCCATTTGGATATATCCTAGCTGTGTTTGTGCCCTCACTCATGGTCCAGACTTTTTTCAAATAGGACATGTAGTTTGTCTGCAGCGAGTGTTTTGGTAGAAACTGCGCCTCCCATTCATTATAATGGGAAATGACCACAGACAAGTGCACACACCATCTTTGGACCTTGAGTGTGACGCGATCGGGAGGTGGAGGCGGTTGCGCTGGGGGCGGCGCGACGCGGCTCGGGCCCGACAGTGCCCCACCGGGGCCCTAGTTAACTAACTATTCTCACTTTGACGGATAAGTTGTGCATGTTGTGCCAATCAGCAAGGAGAGGGGGTCCGGTACCCTTCTAAGTTTGAAGTCACTGCAATAGCTAAAAGACTAGTGGAGTATTATCCCATGCTGCAGGATAAAGACAAAACTATGAAACATGATAGTGATCATATTATTTTGTGCATTTAGATGTTGAAGTGTGTGGTTATTTTTGGCTGATACTTTATCTGTGCATATCTTTATTTTGTTCTTTCAATGAGTGAAATTTTATTTACTGTAGGCGAGCATTTACAAGAATCTTCACAAGAGGCTTCAGAATGTTAAGTCCCCACAAAAGAGGCAGGGGCCCACACCAGAGAGGGGCCACAAGAAGAAAAGGCATTGCATTGACTTCTCAGAAAGTGACCAAGAAGAAGATCATGATACAGACTCAATTGGTTGCTGAACAGTTATTTTGTGTCCCACATCAGGGACCATTTCTGATAATGGCCGCACTTCACGTAAGTAGAAACATGTACATTTGAACAATAATGATAATGTATGAAGGCTAGGCAATGTTATGATGGTTTTGGATATCATGATATATTACAGACATTTTTCATTTGAATTCTCATTTGATATATTTTGATGCTCCAAACAATTTCATCCATTTGACGGAGTTACTCATTTGTCTTCTTCATTTCAGCAGACGAGGATAGTCCAACAGCACAGGCCAGACATTATCAGACCCTACAGGAGCTGTACAAGAAACCAAAACCCAACCAAGATGCTGTCTCCCAAATTCTTGAACTAGAGTTTCAAGCAAGAAGATCCTTCATTGATAGTGATGTTCTGAAGGAACAGGACAGGCCAACAAAGATCCTGGATGCATATCCATGTTTCAAGGATCTTCATCATGTAAGTGATTAACTTGTTTTGGTTTCGTATGAAAAGCAAGCATCGTTGCAGATTTTAACACTTACTTGCATTATAGGTGATGAATGAGCTGAGGCGCATCCTGGATAAGTGCAACAGAAAATTCACTGATGAAGTAAAAAAGAGATGGGAAGACTTCTGCACAAATATGCCATCGCGCAAGTCCACCACCAAAGAAACTGGGACATGCCAGTGAGGCACTGCTTCATGTCATTCAGGTGAAAGTTTGTTCACATTTTCTCACATTCAACACCTCATAGTTATATGCATTGATATTGTGTTTCAATGACTGGTGTTTTTTTCTGTTCTAAAGCAATGTCTCAGTTACCTTCTTTTTCTTTAGCCAACAGAAGATCCCACAATCTACTTGCAGAAGAGGTCTCTCTGCAGCCCTGTGTTGCTGTTTGATTGGACTCGCTGTCTCATCTGTCTTGGAGCCACTCCCGCCACCAGGATTGCCAAGGAAGACTTGAGTGACGGTCTGCTTTATCTGATGGGTTACTACTACGCCCTGCACCGCACATACCCAAAGTGTGTGGCAACCCTTCTCTCTGTCATTCAGACAGAAGTGCTACAGGACACTATCCATGAGCGAGACACCACAGCCTCATACAAAACGACCATGGCAGAATGGAAAGATTTTATTGGGAAGTAGAGCTGTGTACTAGGCATAGGTAGTGATACACTCCCCCAGTAGTTGTAACTTGAGGGTGGGTGAGAGTCGGTACGAGAGTTGGTTTAGTTTTTCTCTCATTAATCAAAGCATCTTTTGTGTCACCAATACCCTGTTAATGACATTAAGGAGGTTTAAAAACTTCCAAACATGTTATCAGTGGTGGTAGGAACAAAACACTATATGCTGTCCCTGTACTGTTTTTTGTTGTGTAACTAAGTGATACACTCCCCCGGTAGTTGTAACTTGAGGGTGGGTGAGAGTCGGTACGAGAGTTGGTTTAGTTTTTCTCTCATTAATCAAACCATCTTTTGTGTCACCAATACCCTGTTAATGACAGTTAAGGAGGTTTAAAAATTTCCAAACATGTTATCAGTGGTGGTAGGAAAAAAACACTATATGCTGTCCCCATACTGTTTTTTGTTGTGTAACTAAACAACAGGACGAGGAAGGAATACCACTCTGTCCTGAAAAGATGTGCAGGTGTACACGGGGAGTTTGCGTATCCAGCAGTCTGCTCAGTGGGAACTCAGTGAAAAGCATGGAGTAAGTGACTCAAATAAAGATAAAGAAGAGACAGGCACAGTGTGCACCCAAGGTCAACTTCCCCGAAACCACGGCTTCGGTCAGGTAAAAAAAACAGAGACGAATACGTGCTTGTTTGTCCGTGGAAAAACACCGGGGACTGCTCTTTATGCAAACTCTCCGCCCATAAAGATCATGAGACGCCTCAAGTGTATAAATGTTAACTACTGAAAAATAGTATTCAGACCTCAACAGAGATACCTTTAGGGTGATGCTGTGCTCTTCAAGATATCTTGTATTGTTTGCTGCGCCGAAATAAAAGGTTGGTTAAAGACACCTTCTTGCCTCATTGAATCCTCTGTTCCACCCTCCATCAACGGACTTGGGAAGTTTGGACAACTTAAACAGTAACTGAGTGATACATTCCCCCGGTAGTTGTTACCTGAGGGTGGGTGGGTGGGAGTCTGTTTGAGAGTTGGTTTAGTTTTTCTCTCATTAATCAAAGCATCTTTTGTGCCGCCAATACCCTCTTAATGACAGTTAAGAAGGTTTACAAACTTATAACATGTTATCAGTGGTGGTAGGAACACAACACTATATGCTGTCCCCATACTGTTTTTTGTTGTGTAACCGAGTGTCAGGGAATCTGAATCAATGTTCAATAATGATGACAGTGAATAATGATGACAGTGAATATTGTAACAACACATTACTTGCGCTCTAGAAATTATTGTCTGATTGTTTTAAGTTGCAATGCCGTATTGAAGTTTTTATTACAAGGCAGTGAAGGCACTTTGTCAGCAATTTAAGTGAATAAGCAATTGTTGACAATATTAATTCTGTTTGGTTAATTTTTATATTTTTATTTTATTTTACTTTATTTTATTTATTTATTTATTTTTTGGGTGGGGGGGTGGTGTTTTGTCTAATTGTGAGAAAAAAAAACAATTATGCGAACACTTGAATTTAGAAGAATTGCACTGTTAGTAGCTCTGGTTTTAAGATCTTTTCTCTCAAATAACCAAATTAGTTTAAGTTGTAAAGCTAACTTCAACATTCAGCTGACACTATTTTGAGTGGACATTAGTTAGCAATAAGCATACAACACCATACACAGTTTGAAACAGTAGATCAACATGTGATAGAAAAAAACAGCATCAACAAATTATCTCAAAGTTTTTGGGTGTTAAAGTTCCCACAAAGATAACTAGGCTACTTATTTTACATACTAACCGTTCAGTAAAGCTGCTTCCTGGTGAAAGTGCCAACAGACCATCTGCTGTAGCTGCCTGTGCTGTTCCCGTCGAGTCAGTGTCAACCTCCTTGCAAGTGCTCTTACCGACCGTTGCACTGGCCTCTTTATGTGACCAGGGACGTTTTTTAATTAGGCCGCTCCCCTTTCTTATAAAACTTAACATACCATGTGCAATCTTAATCTTTCAGCTAAAAAGTACAATCAATTAATGCTGTTTAGTAATGACACAAGCTTTTTACAAAACATAAAAGTTAAGTAATGATAACTCATTAATTTAATTAGAAACAAAATCTGGGTTTACAGTGTAGCTGTTGTGGTTCAGTAAAACAAACATACAACTGGGTGGCTACAGATGGTAATTCTGAAGAGACAGAGATGGAGGTGGTGGGGCAGCATGGAATAACAGGTCTCTCTTCGCTGTTATTGATTGTTGGTATGACAATGGACCAGACTAAGGAAGCGCCGCTTCAGACCCCATCTCCCTTCCTTTATCCTGGCGAATGTTTGCTCTTTAAAGCCAAAGATGGACGTACTGCACGCCAGATGTCGGCTGACAAGAGCCTTCAAGGAGGCATGCATCATCGCCCTGACGGAGACCTGGCTAAACAAGACCACCTCGGACTCCGAAGTCAACCTGGACGGATTCACCATTATCCAAGCCGACAGGACAGGTCAGTCAGACAAGGACAGCGGCGGGGGTGTGTGCGTGTTTATAAACAACAGGTGGTGTAACAACATCAAAATCCACAACACAGTCTGCACACCTAACATGGAAATGTTAACACTGTCACTTCGGCCTTTTTATCTCCCCCGAGAGTTCCCCACTGTGGTTGGTGGGTGTGTTTACATCCATCCCAAAGCCAATAACAGAGTGGCAGCAGAAGAGGTAGTCGACGCGGCTAACTCCCTGTTGGCTAACTACCCCGGAGCCCCGGTGCTTTTTATGGGGGACAACAACAGCTGCAGACTCGAGGGAGTACTGCCCTCTTTTCAACAGTACGTGGACGTCCCCACCAGGAATGAACGCACCTTGGACTTGTGCTATGGAAATATTGACAATGCCTTCACTGTGAGGGCTCATCCTCCACTCGGTGGTTCTGGAGCCAGCTCCGATCATAACATTGTGTTCCTGCTTCCGCACTACAAGCCGGAACTGAAGCGCTCCAAACCACAATCACACTACGCCCCTCAATGGTCGGAGGACACTATTGCACAGCTGCAGGGTTCACTAGCCTGTACGGACTGGGACGTCTTTCAAGGTGACCTAGATGAGAGGGTCTCTGTGATCACTGATTACATCAAATTCTGTGTCTCTACCACCATACCCACAAAGACAATAAAAAAAATCCAAACTCCAAACCATGCTCATCTCAGACATAGTTTCAATGAAAAACAGAAGGCATTTCAACGCCATGATTGGGCCGCCCTAAAAATAATAGATGGGCAAATTAAGAAGGACATTCTTGAGGCCAAATTAAAATACAAAAACACCATGGAACAGGAATTTAGGATAATGAACACAAAAGAGGCCTTCAATAAAGTAAAAATTCTTACAGGTGGCGAGACAAAAAATGGGAACTGCACCACCCCTGATCCGTTAAAACTTGCAAACACCCTGAATACGTTTTATAAACGTTTTGATAATCATGATTATACTGCAGACTGCGAGGAACTGCTGGGAGCACTCCCCTTCCAGCAGCCCTCGCCCCCCCCCCCCCCTTTCACGCAGGAAGAGGTACGACAGCTGCTGAGCAGGTGCAAACCCGGCAAGGCGCCGGCCCGGATGGCATCACGGCAAAGGTGCTCAAACTCTGTGCTACGGAGCTCTCCCCCATCCTGCATTCCATCTTCTGGGAATCCTACAGAACTGCATCCATACCCACACTGTGGAAAACATCAACCATCATACCAGTTCCCAAGAAACCCCGCCCCTCGGAACCTAACCACTACAGACCCATTGCATTAACATCAATCATGATGAAGCTTCTAGAAAAAATGATACTGCACATCATGCTGCCAGCTGTCAGGTCACAGCTGGACCCGTATCAGTTTGCCTATAGGGCCAAGAGGGGGACAGAGGATGCTGTGGCATGCCTCCTCCATTCCCTTCTCCAACACCTGGACTTATCATCGGACAATTTTGCCACGATCCTCTTCGTTGATTTCAGTTCAGTTCCGTAACACCATACAACGCCATCACATGATCAAGAAACTGCACCTCCTCAACATTCCTACACTCCTCATCCACTGGGTCCACAATTTCCTGAGCAACAGACCACAATCAGTCAAAGTTGGCTCATCTTCCTCATCAACAGTTATCACCAACACAGGGGCCCCCCAGGGCTTTGTTCTTAGTCCCTTCCTCTACACACTATACACTAATGACTGCATCAGCCCCTCATCAACATCACATACTTCAAATACTCAGACGACACTGCCATCCTCGCACTGCTTCATGACAATCACTCTATTACGGACTATCAGAGCACCATCTCCCATTTCACCCAGTGGTGCACTGACAACTTCCTGGAGTTGAATGTGGACAAAACAAAAGAACTGGTCTTTCCATCAACTCGCACTGGGCTTAACCCACTCCTCATTCATGGCAAAACAGTTGAACAGGTTGACAGTTTCACATAACTTGGACTCATCTTGGACAATGAACTCAGGTTTGATCAACACATCACTTCCATCCATAAACGTTTCCAGCAACGACTTCATGTCATCCGTAGGTTAAGGTCACTATCTGTTGCCCCTCATCTTTTGCTGTTACTGTACAAAAGCATTATCCAACCCATTCTGTTGTACTGCTCACCATGTTACTTTACCATACTGTCCATGCCAAATAGAAACAAACTGTACAATATCACCCATATTGCTTCCAAGGTCATCGGACTTCCCACACCCACCCTTGCTGATCTGAACAATAAAGCCATCACCCGCTTGGCACTCTCAATAATAAGCGACAATGAGCATCCTCTGCATCGTCACTTTGACCTCATGCCATCAGGCCGCAGATACAGATTACCCAGGTGGAAGAGGGTTCAGTTCAGTAAGAGTTTCATCCCAACAGCCATCGCCACAGTAAACAAGCTTAAACTGCCTCACCACTAGGATGGTCTCTGTGTATTCTGGGGGGGGGGGGGGGGGTTCTCATGGCCTGTCCTTGTAATATGTTTTTTGTCATATGGTATGTGTTGTC